GGGCTCACTGTCAAGATGGGCATGGGGCAGGCCCCAAGGGACAGGGAGCTGTCCTCGGAGGCCCAGTGGTACCCTTAGCAGTGCCAGAGCCTGCCGGGCATGGAGCCTGCAGAAACAGCTGGGGCAGGGCCTCGATTCGTGGAGCCTCAGCCTCTTGGCAACCCGTGTGACTCAGTGGGCTGGTAAAAAGGGCCGGCAGGCAGGCAGCCAGCACAGGGGAGCCCTGGGCAGCCGGTGAATCAGCAGCGGGAGCAGCCTACCAACCTACCACTGGGTTACTGTTCTGCCTGGAATAGGGCCAGGCCTCAGCTGCCGAAATAGCCCCTCCTTGCCTTTCTCCCTGCCAGCTCTCCTGGTGGTGTTTCTTATGACCCCACCATTTCAGGGGGTCCCTGGGTCTCCCCAGCCTGGAGCAGGGGAAGGGGCCTTCCTCTGGCCCCTCTTGGCCCTTTTATAAGCAGTGCCCACAGAAGGGCACCGGGAGGCTAGAATCTCGCTCAACTCTTACTGTACAGAGCCGGGAGCGGCTGAGAGCACCAGTCTCCAAGCCAGATTGCCGTGTGACTTGGGGTGAGTTTGCTACATCTCCAGGATCCTGTCCCTGAGCTCACCCCCTGAGCTCCGGTCCCGGCCTCTCACATGGTGACACTTAAATTATATTCACGCGGGCACATCAGTGAATGGTAGAAATATTAGGGGGAGGGGCGGTCATCGATTCCGGCTTAGACACTGCGTTGTGGGGGGGCAGGGGTTGGGCAGAGTGACAGGAGACATCGTAATCAGAATCCCAAGCTGGGTGTCATACGGGGGACAGACCTCCCCCCCGCCGCTGACAGGGACCCAGCAGCCCCAAGCCAGCCTGTGCTGCCAGGAGCAGATCCACGTGTGACCTTGAACCCGGTCCAGAGCAGAGGAAATTGAGCTGCCTTCGGAGCCAGACAGGACAAGGCGTGTACCTGGCCTTGGAATGGACCCCCGTGCCTCCTTGGGCTAGCCGTTTGCCCTCTCTGGGCCTTGATCTTGAAGTGATTGCTGGGGCTGCATCTGTTTGACAGATGCTGCGTGGAAGAGTGCTCTGCCCCCATCAGGGACCCCCCAGAGACAGGGCCAGGCTGGGCTCGTGGGGGCTGAGGGGGCGGCAGGAGCTGCGTGTGCCTCCAAGGCGTCTAAGTGTGGGCAAGCCTTCGCCTTTGGCTGCAGGCGGCGGTGTTTACAGGGCCCTGGGTCCTGGGCCTCTCTCACAGCTGAAGGGGGGAGAGCCAGAGTAGGTGCGCCCCCGTTCTAAGCCCTTTCCCGGCTGTAGGCTTGTCTCTCACACGCAAGGTTGCGGCGTCACCTGACCCAGCAGAGCCCCACCGGCAGTGGCCGCAGGTCCCCAGAGATGAGGGGGCGGGGAGCTGGGCTGTCCCACGCCCCTGGCGGGACCCCGAGTCGGATCAGGAGGCTGACGGAAAGAGGAGCCGAAGCCAGGCAGGCCTCTTCTATCTGCTTCCTGGACAGGATGTTGTGCCGGGTAAACAGCTTGGAGTAGAGTCACTGCTCTGGCTCTGAGTCACAGCTCCTAGCGACAGCCACTAGTGTTTATAAACAACGTGCTTTGTACCCACCAGGGCCTGTCCGCCAGAGCCCGGAGCCCGCAGAGGGTTCCCCCAGATGTGGAATGCAGCAGGCCCACCCAGGAATCTGTCCCCCGCCGGAGGGCTTGGGTCTGGGTGGCGAGGAGCGGTGGCGCGTCTGTACACGCATGCGGGTTCAGGAGTGGGGTTTCGCTGCGTCTGGGCTTGTGTGTGGCTGCCCAGGTGCATTTTCCTAGAGCCATCTGGTACAGCGGGCAGGGCACAGGACCGTGGGCAGGTCCCAAGACCTGGGGTCCCGGGACAAGCGTCTCAGGGATGGTACGAGTGTTCCCCCATGTCCAGTGGCTGCACAGGAGAAGCTTGTGTGTGCTTGGGGGGGGCAGCCCCAGTAGGTGGCAATGTGGTGGGAGTACAGGGGAAGTGCCCCTGACTGTCCCCAGCCCCCAGAGCCCTGGCGCTCCGTGGCTGGTCTTTGGTTCCAGGCAGTGACAGTGATGCGGGGCACCATGTGGTGACACCAGACTGGCAGGGAACAAAGGCGCCTCTGCTCTCCCCCTCTCGGCTGGGAGGAGGGGTGGACGTGCCCCACCCCACCCCACCCCTCCCTTGCCCCGCCTCCTCAGGGCTCCTGCTCTCCTCGCCTCTAGCTGACAGTTGGTCTCCCAAAGCGGCCGCCTGGGCCTTCCCGGTCCGCCTGGCCCCAGTGAACTCTGCCCCGGCGGCCTGGCTCCTGAAGGACTAGCTCGAGACTGGGTCCTGAGGCCAGAATGATCGGTGTTGGGAGCCCGGGGTGGGGGCAGGTCAGGGTACCCGGTGTGGACGCCTGGGGGATCACAGAGAGCCTTGTTTGACACTCAGGAGCGATGGAAAGAGACATGGTCCCTCACCAGGGGCCCGGTCCCCAGGAAACGCCCATCAGGTACACCTAAGGGGCAGCCCGTTTCCCTGTTGGTTCCCACCCTGGACACACGCTTCCTTTAAGGGCCTCTTGAAGCTCTCCCACACCCCCGGGCACTTTCGCTCAGCTAGAAGCACTTTCCCATCCACTGACCCCGTCCACAGCACCGGGCTCAGGGGCCCACCTTATGTTGAGGAAGTCAAGCCTCAGAAAAGGCCCTCCCACCCCCTCATTTCAACTGGAGCCCCCAGAGGCATGGGCAAGCTTGCCAGTGCCCACAGGGCAGGCAGGGCTGCATCAGGTGATGCCCGAGGTCCCACAGCTAGGGGACAGCCTCTGCGCCCCGGGGCCGTCTCCCTCCTTGGAACCTCCAGCCCGGCTGCACCCTGGCCTCTGTTTGCTGCTGGGAGACAGTGAGCATTTCTGAGTTCTCCACTGGGATCCAGTTGTGGGGCCCATGCTAGCCCTGGACGGACCCCACATTGCCGTTTGGCGCTCGCTCTGGGAGGCGGAGCCAGCAACATCTGTTGAGTGGTCATTACGTGCCGGCACCGGAGCAGGCTCGTGACCGTGGGAGTGATCAGAATGCACATTGCCGAATCCCCAGGCACCCTTGGGCCGATTTTACAGATGAGGAAACTGAGTCAGTACTAAATGCTAAGTCAGTGGCCCAAGGGCTCAGGGCGGGCTGATTCAGAGCCCGGTTGCCCCTGCTGTTTCTCCCAGGTCAAGTTAAGCGTCATCATGTGCAGGAGGCCACAGTGGCTGAGGAGGGAGAGGAGGAGGGACCCCCACCACCCCCTCCACGCCCACCCCCCACTGCATAGAGGCTGGAGGCAGGGAGGACTTGGGATTCTCTTGCGGGCAGCGGGACAGAAGCTGTTGGAGGGATTTTACAGCGTGGGGAGCCAGTCTTGGGCTGTAGGCACAAGGGTGGCATGGGGGGGTGGTGGGCGCGCTCCACCAGGAACCGTCAGCTCAGTTTCTCTGATGCCCACCCAGCCCCCCCATCCCTGGATGCCCATGTCCCCAGGGATTCCTAACTTGTGCTCACAGAGATTCTTTCTTCTCTATAAGAAATGTCCTCTGGAGCCCAGTGATGAGAATTCCAGGTCAAGAGAGGCCGTGAAGCCGGGGTGAGGAAGAGTTTGTGTTTGAAAAACCTGCGTATCTCTCCCACCCACCCCTACATCCATAACAGTTCAGGAAACTGAGGCTCGGAGAGAAGAGGAACCTGCAGGTCCCACGGGAAGGCAGGGCTGGGCGGGGACAGGAACCAGGTGGGGCTCGGAGCGGCCCTCTCCGCCGGCTCCCCTGCACCCCACAAAGCCACCGGAAGAGGATGTGAAACTCAGAGAGGCAAAGCAAGTGCTGGCGGGGCTCCGTGTCGGGGCGGCATGCTGGGTCCCAGCACCCCCGCAGTAGGCAGGGGACCTGATGTGCCTCCAGGCCGGCTCTGGAGCCCCTGCACCGCCCTCTTTGCTCCCAGCCCCTGTGGCACCCTGGCAGCCAGGAGCAGGACGTCCACCCGGCCAGGGACCCAGCAGGGTAAGGAAGCCACCGGGCCTCTCAGCCTCTGTCTTTGTCCTGGGACCGCTGGGTCTGGGGATTCAGGCTCTGAACACTGGTGGAAGGAGCGTCTGGGGACTCTGTGGGGCTGCAGACAGGTGCAAGTCCTGGATTCCCCCTGTGAGATCTCAGGCAAGTCCCTGCTTCCCCGGGGCCTCAGTTTTTCCATCTGTCAAGTGGGTGTATTGGACTCGATCCGTGGTTTCCAATGGCTGGTTTGCAGCCAAATGGGAAAAATGGGCACAAGATCATGAGCTTTTCTTAAACCAAATGCCTCCTTTTAACTGCTGCTAAATGAATGGTGTTTCTGACACTGTGTCCTCCTAGTTAACTTTTGGTGGTGTCTTTTCTGGAATAATGGTAATGATGTTTGGTTTCTGGCTTTTTTACTACCCTGCTTGGCAGGATAGGCAGTTGGCAACCCTCGGTTAGTCCTTACAGTTTAAAATGAGATCTTATGCCCGGGTGCCAAGGCAGAGACGCTCGAAGGGAGAGTGCCGGGAAGGCTTCAGGAATGAAGCGGTAGCTTGGCATGGGTGGGGTCCTCCTGTGCTCCCCCTGACGGCACCGCGCCCAGCTCACAGCTGCCTGGGAGCCCCATGGGCTGAGCCCTGTTTTGATCTCGGTGACTTGCACCTGCCGCCTTTCTAGCTCTGGGAGAGGGTTTCCCTGCAGGCAGCGGGAATGGGGATGGGGCCTTGGGGTCTTGGGGGAGACAACGGGACCCACCCCAAGAGGACCTGGTCTGAGCTGGAGCTGCTGGGCCAGCTCAGGACAGAGCCCTGTCTCCCCAGCCGTGGCAGGCCTGTGGCCTGGTCCCAGTGGGAATTCCTGGCCCTGCCCATCATGGGAGCAGGTATGACAGCCACGCTGATGACACCAGGCCTAGGCACTCGGGCGCTTGATCCATCGGGGCAGGCAGGCACACAGATGGGCAGACTGGCAGAGGGCCTCCTCAGGAGCTCACCCCCTGCCTGGCTCCCGTGCCACCATGGCCCGGGAAGCCGGGCCCACTGCCCCCAGGGCCAGAAAGGGCTGGGTGTTCTTTGCCTGTGTCTCTGTGGTGACAGCCAGGCGCAGGGCCACCGCCCACCGCACCACTCTCCAAAGCCCCACACGTTGGCCGGCACCTGTGCCAGCAGCAGCCACTGAGGTGAGTTTCTGGGGCAACTTGCGCTTCTGCCCAGAGGCCGGGTGGGTCCCAGCCAGGTCCAAGGCCCGGGAAGTGGTTCCCGACCGCCAACCTTCCCTCCCTCAGAACTTGTTTAAGGAGCCTGGTGGGAAGCCAGCAGGTGTCCCCAGCCCCCATCCGGGTGTGAGAGGAGTAAGCACCGTGGACCCCCGCCCAGGCCGGCCTGTTGACCTGCCCCCCGCCTGGGCGGCCGCTGCCGGGTGGCCATGGGTTGTCCTAGCGGTTCCTGGTCCTTTGGTGCTTCTCAGATTTCCAAGGGCTCTGTGCGTTGTTTTATCGTCTGCTCTCCTGAGAGCCAGGCGATGACAGTATTAGTATTTCCCCATCTTCCTGATGGAGAAACTGAGGCAGGAAGGTGCCGAGCAGAGACTTGAGCACAAATCCAGGCTCCAGATCTTAAGCGAGAACTTTACAAACCTACAGGCACCCTCCTCGGTGTATGCGCCGTGCTCCTCAGACGCAGGCTCTGCAAGGGACGGGACCCCCGCCTCCAACTCTGCTCGCCTCGCCCGCTGTCCCCTCTCCACTACGCTCAGGCTCTTGCATTTCCATCTGTCTGTGTCCCCTTCTGCTTCTTTCTCCTTTCCTTCCATCACCTCCAGCCGTCACACGGCAGATGGGCGGCTCGCAGAAGTGTCGGGTGTCCATGATCCCTGGGGCGTCGGGCACTGAGCAGTCCAGGAGCGGCGGCGGCATTGTCAGAGTGGCCCCCGTCCCCCCTCTGTGGATGGCGTTTATCATGGTGAACGGGCTGCACTGTGTTCCTCTGAGTGACCCCACACACACCCTGGGAGTTGGTGTCGGGGCGGGGGGGTGAGCACCCACTTCCACAGGAGGCCAGTGAGGCCCCAGAGCAAGCTCAAGGCTGATCCGGGGCCCATGGGATGCCAGTCCTGGGCCATTTCCATGGCTCCAGGCATTGATGTATTTTGTTCTCGTTGCCCCCGGGACAGTAACGCCCTGTGAGATCAGAGATTGGGGGTGATAATTATGTCACATCTCTCCACCCAGGATGGTCTCCTGGGGGTTTGGACGCCTCATTTTCTGCCTCCTGACCAACTCTGAGCTCACCCTCCCGCCTGTGGGAAAGCCCCCTCCCCCCAAGGAGGAGGAGGAGGAAGAGAAGGAGGCCCCTGGAAGTTCCCAGGAACCCGGAGACGGAGCGGGTGGGGCTCAGCCTACGCTCTTGGCCCAGGTGTCCCACCCCCTGCCAAGGTGTGTGCTCACCCGCCCACAGCAGGCCAGCCCGGGAGCCAGGCAGGCCAGGAATGGTGACGCTGACATAAGGAAGTGACCCAGGAGCCCGGCCAGGCTACACCCTCTTCGTGTCCTCCTCGGGATCTAAATATAGCCCACAAAGGACAGACAGGGGCCCTCCACCTGCCCAGAGGGAGGTGAAAGGTTTTCCCCCGAGGCCTGACCCAAGTCTGGGTGGCCACCAGTGCCCTCTGTGGCCTTGGCTGAGCCCAGGTGGGAGGAGGTGATGAGCAGGGCCTGTGGCCCCGTTGCGGCTCCAACACCTCCCCAGCACCGCGGCCGGGCCCAAACCCCATTCCCCGGGACCCCGTGCCAAGGCAGAGCGGGTCTAGATTGGAAGGACGGCTGCAGCAGCACGCAGGTTTCACCCGTCACGTACTGCGGGTGGGCGGCAGGTGGGAAGCACGGGCCCGGCAGGAGACGGGGGCTGGCTCGAGGCTCCAGGGACCGAAGCAGTTCTGTGGGAGGCTGGCGGGGCGCTGTGAGGGGCCCCAGATGGAAGCCAGAGCCACTCCAAGCAGTCGGTCTTTTGTCCTGAAGGTTGTAGGGGCACTTTTGAAGGGTCAAGACCCCTCTGGCTGCCATGCGTCTGGGGAACCAATGGTGGGTTGGAAGCAGGAAGGAGACGGGGCCCCAGAGGTTTGGCCTCCGTACCCCTCTCCCTTCAACTGGAGGCGGCTGCTCGGGGAGCCTCCCAGCCAGAGAATGACGGAAGGCCCGATGGGGCCCGAGCCTTGCCCAAAGGAGACCGATGCCGGTCAGCTCCCACCCAGCCTCCCGTGGCTCAGGAACACAGAGCCCAGGTGACCGGATGGTCTGAAGTTACAGGAGAAGCAAGAAATGTGGATTTTTATATGAAATCACCTGACCTTTACTGTTGGCTCAAAAATTTAAAAATACTTTGCGAGCCAAACAAAACACACCGTGGGCTGGCTATGGCCTGCTTCCAGCCCCTGACTTGTCAGTTCTCGGCCCATCTTGGAAGCTTCCCCTGCAGGGAGCATCCTGGCCACAGAACGGTCTGTACAGCATAGCGCTGTTCTCGGGGCACTTTGTGACCCCTGAGGAAGGGCAGGTGCACTCCCCGGGGAAAGGCTGGGAACCTGGGACCGCTGGGGGTGGGGCGAGCTGTGAGCAGGATGAGGGACGAACGGAGGGCCCCAAGTCCAATAACCCCACACCTTCTACAGTACTTTGTGGCGTTTCTCCCAGCAGACCCTCCGAGGGCAGGGGCAGTCACCTTGGTTTTCACTCACCCAAGGTCACCAGGCTGCCTCCAGCCCCAGGTGAGCCGTATGGCTCAGTTTCCCAGCGCCCCACTGCCATGGCCTCCAAAGTGAAGCCCAGGCCTTATTTGTTGTGAGCATGCTCAGGGGGCCCCTAGGCGTGGGGCGAGCCAGGCATATGGACAGCGGGGAGCTGGCCAGGTGTGCACTGCCGTGACCTGGGGTCTGGGGATTGTTGCCCTCCCTTGGTGGCTGCTGGGAGCCTCAGGGACCTCGACGGTGAGGCTCAAACTCTGTCCTTTTTCCTTTTTTAATTTCTATCATGGCAACTTCCAACTAGACAGAAGAGTGGGGAAGTACATAAACACATCCCAGCCGTAACGCTCCCCAGTGTTCCAGGACACTCTGGGGTCCGCTCACCACTCACCACCCCCATGTCCCGCGTCCCCTACGGCAGATGCTGTTTGCACAGATCCCAGGCACACAAATTCCAGTATGTCCCTCTAATCGTCACTGCATTGCCACGATCATGCCCAGACGGCGGTACTGAATATCACCCAACATCCAGCAATGTTCAAATAATCTCGATCGTCCCTTGGGTTTTGGTGGTATTTTTTTTTAATAGTTGCCCTGTTCAAATCACCATCCAAAATTGATCAAGTGTTGCATTTGGTGACGTCTCTTACCTTTCTTCCAGTCTATGGCTTCCCCTTTGTTTATTTTTTCTCCTGGAATGAATTTATTGAAGAAACTGGGAGGTTTGTCCCATAGAGATTCCTGCCGTCTGGGATTTGTGGACTGTGCCCTCCTGGTGTGTTTAAAAGGCAGCGCAGCCTCCTCCCACCTCCCCCATAATTCCCCCAAATGGAAGTTACATGCAGAAAGCTGGTGGGGTTCGCGGTTGGCTTTTGGCAAGAACACTTCGTGGGTGACTTTGTTCTTCAGGTAGCACCTACCGCCCTGGGCCCCTCTTTTGGGCTGTCCCTGCCCGTGGTAAGGGGTCTGCCCCACAGTTTTGGGGCAGGATCATGAAGGGAAGTGTGTGACGGCTCAGGAGAGGGTCTCTTGAGCCGGCGGTGCCCCGTGAACCGCAGCCCCGGTCACTGACCATGTGGGGCGGAGTCGTGGGGACGCTGAGCACCTGTGTGAGGGGCTTTACCGGTTACCTCCTTAGTCATGCTCCCTTTACGCAGGAGAAAGCGGCCTCGGAGGTGCAGTGATATGCCTGGGGGAGAGGGGTCCCACAGTGAGAAAAGGATGTAGCTCGGCTTCAAACCCAGGCATCTTGGTGTGCAAGCCTGCCCTCGGCCACACCAGCACTCTGGGAACTGAGATGTGTGCGGTGTGCATGCAGCTGGAGCCGTGAGCAGGCTTGCCAGGACCCCAGAGGCGAGCCCCCAAAGTGTGGGGGGGACGAGGCAGAAGGACTGGTTGAGTATAGGCTACGCCGTCCTGCCCCCTCCCCGTGGATAATGTGCAGGTAGCCTGGGATGGGGGGGCAGCCCAGCCAGTTGTGTTGGTGGGGGAGGGGGGGGTGCTGGAATTCCCCACTCCTCACCACTCCAGCCCACCTGGGCCTTTCAGGCCCTGGACCTGGACCTTCAGGGTTGGAGAGGTGGGGACAGCAGGTGCATTCCTCCAGTCCTCGGGAGTCACTTGGCCTGCACCGGCTCTTTTCCAGGCAGTAAAATGGGCTTGAGCTTGCATACAAGGGCCCTCCCTGGGAGAAGGAGATAAAGAGAGCAGAGCAGAGGGAGATAAGTGAGCACTGGCAGGGGCTGAATTCCCTCCGTATTCCCAGAGGCGGAAAACTTGTCCCCAGGAGAAGGAGTGGGAAGAGGAGCTTCTAGCCAGAGGTCGGTGGCCCTTGGCCAGGTCACCTTTTTGTTGCTCCATGATGAGCTCCTTCCTCCAACTGTGCCTCCCCAACTGGCCCTCCCTGGGGACAGAGCCCAGAAGCTTCCAAAACAGCCTCCCCAACTAAATCTACTCATCTTGCTAAAAAAACAAAAACCAAATAGCATTTATTACATGTGCATGATTATTACAGTATTGTAGAAAAATTAGAAAACTCTGGAAGTGAAAAGAAAAAAATGTGCAGTGCTGTTCAGAAATAACCACCATCACTCTTGCAGAAGAGGTCCCTCTGGTTGAATGCATGTGTGCAACGTCTGGTCTGAAAGCACGCTTGGCAGCCTGGTTTCCCTACTCCCCGGTTACACACGCCATGCCCTGCACCGTGGCTCTCCGGGTGCGCAGTGGCGCCGAGGGTCCTGTGAGTTGGCACAGGGCAGAGCTGTAATCCTCCCTTCCGTGAATATGCTTGTACAGGGAGGGACCCATGTCAGTGCCTCTGATTGCGTCCGCCTTAGGGGGAATTCCTGAGTGGATCATTGAGTCCAAGGGCAAGAGCATTTTTAACGCCCTTAATAGAAAGTGCCAGATTGTTTTCTACCTGTCTTTGTCAAGGCCTTGCTC